AGGCAGCAGACAAGCCGATAGATTTGCAGAAACTGCTCGCTTACGTACCGGATGACCTGGCAGCGCTACTGAAGCAGTACAGCGAGATTTTTCCTGATGACCTACCGGAGGGACTGCCACCTCAGCGACCGCAAGATCACAGGATAGAACTAGATCCGGGGGCACAGCCATCAACAATGACAGTTCCGACTGACCCAACCGGAACTGGATGAACTGCAAAAATAGTTAGATTACTTGCTCGAAAAAACAGTTCATTCGCCCGAGTTCGTCGCCCTTCGCAGCACCGATACTGTTCACACCGAAGAAAGACGGAGGATTGTCAGTAGATCTGCACTGTGGATGCCCGATTGATCCTACGGGGGGTTACAGGCGCGTTCGCCTGGGGGGTTATGGGCGCACTGACCCGCTACTTAACAAGCTCTTTTATCCCAATGGTCTAGTGGTTGGGATTCTGACATGGTATCAGAGCGGTCTCGGGTTCGAATCCCGGTGTATGCACATGTAGGCCGTTGCCGCTGTGCTCAGTCCTGGGCCTCCCAGTGTGGGGGGGTCTCAGTAGATCTGCACTGTGGATGCCCGATTGATCCTACGAGGGGTTACAGGCGCGTTCGCCTGGGGGGTTATGGGCGCACTGACCCGCTACTTAACAAGCCCTTTTATCCCAATGGTCTAGTGGTTGGGATTCTGACAAGGATTTCTCATGTGCATAGACTACCGCACACTGAACCGAGTTACCATCAAGTTCCGTTACCCCATCCCGCGAGCCGACGAAATGATTGACCAACTGTGCACAGCACGGGTTTTCTCGAAAATTGACCTTCGAAGGGGTTACCACCATGTCTGCGTCAATCTGCCCGACTGCCCGAAAACCGCCTTCCGAACTCGCTACGGATCCTTCGAATGCACAGTAATGCTTTTCGGTCTGACCAACGCCCCCACGACCTTCCAAATGACCATGAACGAAGCCTTCCGCCAGCTTTTAGATAAGTGCGTGATCGTCTACTTGGACGACATACTGAGCTACAGCCCAGACCGAGCACAGCACCTACAGGACATCGAAGAAGTTTTAAAAATACTGAGTGAGAATCGCCATCTGACCAAAGCATATAAGTGTGAGTTCCTACAGGATAGACTGGAGTTTTTGGGGCACGTTATTTCAGCCAACGAAGTAGAAATATACCCGAAAAATATCCCGAGAATTCAAGCATGGCACGCGCCGAACAACTTGACCGAGTTGCAGAGTTTTCTGGGGTTCATCAACTACGTGCGACGGTTCGTCCCCGACATGGCGCATTTGACTGCCCCGTTGACTGACTTGCTGAGGAAGGGGCTTGAGTACACGTGGGAAGAGAAAGTGCAAGCTGCCTTCTCGGCCCTCAAAAATATTTTGTGCTCGCCGCCCGTGCTTCACATCGCTGATCCTCATTGTCCGTTCGAGCTCGTCACCAACGCAAGTGACATCGGTGTGGGAGCAGCCTCCAGCCAACCGTGTACGAGTCCCGCAAACTTCACCCGCCCGAACGCAACCTACCCGATACACGACAGCGAGTTTCTGGCAATCGTGCACACGTTCAAGGTGTGGGGGTGCTACCTAACAGGAGCCGACGTGACAGTACGGACGCACCATCGTGCACTACAGTACCTTCGCGCGAAACCGAATCTCAATCCGCGACAAATCCGCTGGTTGGACTGCCTGGAGTCCAACTTCCACTATACCGTCACATACAAAAAAGGGGCATCAAATATCGCCGACGCACTCACCCGCCCTACTGCCCAACTTCACGCCATCCTACTCGCCCAAACCAACCCACTTTTAACAAGCCTATTCACCCACGGATACCGCGCCGACCCATTTTTCACGGCCAGAAATTCACAGCAACTGGCAGAAGCAAAGGGAGTCTATTACGTAAAGACAGGCACCAACCGCGTCTGGGTACCCGCGTACTTACTACTGAGGGAATTGCTGCTATGGGATGCACACGACGGGGTTACCTCGGGCCACTTCAGGGTAGAAAAAACGCGTCAGCAACTCCAGCGGTATTACTACTGGCCGGAACTGTTGGCCGACGTATAGCACCACGTGGGCTCGTGTCCTACATGTCAGGTGATGAAGAGCTCGCGAAAAAGAAAGGCGGATTAGTTGCAGCCGATCCCACCACCTGAGCGCGCCTGGCAGCAGGTTACCATGGATTTCGTCATGGGGTTACCTTCGAACCCTGGGGGTAACGACGCGGTTATGGTCGTCGTTGACAGACTGACGAAAGTGGCTCACTTCGCTGCGTGCAAGAAATCGATCTCAGCCGAAGAAACCGCTCGCCTCTTCATCGCAACCGTCGTTCGACTGTACAGGATACCAGCCGCGTCAATCAGCGACCTCGACATGAAGTTTACAAGCAACTTCTGGAAGAATCTTTGGGAGCAGTTCGGGACCAGGCTACAGTTCAGCTCGTCGTACCACCCCGAGACCGACGGTCAAACGGAGCGGACGAACCAGACCATGGAGCAGTTGATTTGTGCCACGTGTAACGACCCGACAACTTTGGAGCAGCAGTTGCCGCTAATCAAATTCGCCTACAACAACGCCACGTCAGCTACGACGCAGCAGTCCCTGTTTTACCTGAACTACGGGCAAAACCCAATAGTGCCAATGACGCCGAGTCCGGACAGCCCCACGCCACGCGCACAACAGTTCGTCGAGATATTGCAAGCTGCCCGAACACGAGCAGCAGAGGCAATGAAAAAGGCAAACGTCAACGCTAAGAGAAGTGCTGACCACCACCGCCGCCCAGTCACGTACCAGTCAGGAGAGTACGTACTGCTCGACACACGGAATTTAAGATTGGCCGTTGTACCGAAACTTCGACCGCGCTACTGTGGACCGTTCCAAATTAACCACTTGATCACCCCAGTTACCGCCCATTTACTGTTACCGACAGACTGGTACATCAGCCCATTGTTCCACGTCAGCCTGCTTCGCCCATACATTCCGACCACAAGCCAACTGCCACGACATCGCCCACCGTCGATGGCTCGCCTTGCATCGGAGCCGATCGTTGAGCCCGAAGAGATTTTGAGCCATCGGGTTTGCCACTCTACAGGCATCAAGAGTATCGAGCTCCTTATTCGCTGGAAGGACCGCACGCCAACTGAAGATAGCTGGGTGCCCCTGGCCAACATCGAAAACCACCTTGCCCTGCAAGTGTACCTGTGGAGATGGGGTTTCCGTGATATACACGCACTTGTTAACGGGAGTGGAGTGTTGGCCCCGCCCTCGCTTGGGCAACACCGACGACTTGGTCAGATGTACGGGAGTAGCAACCGACCATTCACAGTGGGAGAGCTGCTCGACAGGCTTCGTCGAGCTGCAGGGGACCGCTGTGGTGTTGCTGTCGACCAGGGAGCTCGACAGCAACAACTGACTGGTCTGGGCGACGATAGGGCCGTCGACCAGGAGGGGCAGTTCGACCGGGAGGTCGACGGAGCAATCCGTTGACCTGACAAGTGAACATCGGTCGAGAAGGGGAGCTCGGCGACAACAGCTGACAGTTCTGGTCGATGGAAGGGGTCCGTCGACCAGGGGGGTAGCTCGACGGGAGCTGTGGTTGACCAGTGGCACCTGGTGGTCGACCAGAGGGACCCGGTGGTCGACCGGGTAACCTGCTCGGCGAGTTCTGCAAAGACACGCGAACGTCGTTGAGGTCGCGATGGCGAAGGCGACTTCGGGCTGGTATCCTGAAGTCGATGTGGCTTGTCAGGCGCAGACAACAGCGATGCACAATGGTGCAAGTCGGGCCAATCGTCTGCGCGCATCTGCGAGCGTGCGCACTGCTGTCTTCTACGGGGCAACGCTGGACGGCCGCTCTGCTGCAGCGTTGGCACACCGTCGACCTGCTGTGTTGGCAAGTTGCCTTTCTGCAGTGCTGGCGCGGCTCCTCTACGCAACGCTGGAAGGCGGTCGACCATGCTGTGCTGTCGGTCGACCAGGCTAGCTGCAGAGTTGCTAGGTGCCTGATGTAGTCATTGTTTGTTAAACTATTATGTAATGTAAACTTTGCTAGTGGAAACTCTTGCCGATTTCTCCCGTGATTGTGCAAGCACTAAGGAACTAGGCAAAGCTACGATCACTCCTAGTAGTTTGTGCCAACCCCCGTAGTCTAGCTCACTACCGTTGTAGAGTGAATCTCCGCAGCACTCGCATAGCGGAAGGGGGTTTCTTGAGGAGGGGGGGGGGGGGTTTGGTAGTATAAGGTTTTTTTTCAGCATTCCTTACCGCGACCGTCAACATCGCGTACAGCAGCAGCCGTTGTTCGCCTGTTACTGCTAACGGGGCTTTGCCACTTCTCGTGCACTATTTTGCCAAACCATGCACCGCTGACCTGGCCGAGTCGGCCTGCGCTTCGGGACTAGCCCGAACCTCGATGCCAGCCTAGCACTAGCTAGCTCGCACGCACCGCGTAACCGTTGCATGTTTTCGCACATACCCGTATTCTCCCGGATATAAGACCCGGGGGACTTTCCTAAAATAGAGGCAAATTGGTTAGGGTGAACATTTAATCGGAACGAGTTGTATAAGACCCGGGTACACTTATTAATCAAGTACAGTTATGCGATTTAGGGTGTACCATTCGTTTTTTTGGGGGGGGGGGGAGGGACTTTTATTTTGCACGTCCAAATCCACCGCTTACAGCACTCCAAACCTCATATCGCGTGTGACACGCGTCGTCCAACTAGGCACGTCTGTTCCTTTAGCGACAGAGCGAGGGACAGGCTCTGGACGTGGTGCGGAACGGATCCCTCACAACTCCAGCAGGCAGCCGAGCTTGTCACATCGTACCCCAGCGCTGTGTCTATTGCTTCTGATTCACTTCGTTCGCTCAGCCGCACTACAAAGAACGGCTCATGGCGCTAGTAGGTCGTCATGCGCCCCAAGTACGATAGTTTAGCAATAGAGTTCCACCATGTCGGCTTTCGAAAGCCCTTGGCGTACGCGCCGTGCCTCGATGACTTCATCGCGGCCGGCCATCGTTGTGATTACTAGCCCGCGTCCGCCAGCACCACCTGCGCCTCCCGCACCTCCTGCCCCGCCTGCTCCACCGGCGCCGCCTGCGCCACCCGTGTTTCCCCCGGGTTTCGTTTCCCACCAGGACCGGCCTCTCTTCGAGCCCCTGGACAAGGAGGGCTTTCCCGCGCCAGAAGACGTCAGCGAAAACCGCGATGAGACCGACGAGGCGGCCTACGATGTTGGCGACTTCCCCATCCCCACCTTTCCCGAAGACCTCGTCCACGATGAAGGTGGTCCCGAGGCAACGAAGGACGCCGCGCCTGCAAGTCCGCGTTCTCGCAAGAGTACGCACCGTCGCACGGCGCGCACCATGGGTGAGAAGTGGCAGTGGCTTCTGCGGATGAAAGACGAGAATCTGTCAATTCGTCACACGGCCCGTCTTGCAGGGGTTCAGCCAATCAGCGTCCGCCGTTGGCTGAGGATCGCGCAGGAGATCGAAAAGGCTGCACCGTGCAGGCGTCGGCTGAAGGGTGGCGGTCGGCGGGCGAAATACCCCGACATGGAGCAGGCCGTGTACAAGAAGCTCCTGAACTTCCGCGGCAGGGGGTTAGCGGTCCCGATCAAGCTCATCAGGCAGTGGAGCAGGACGTTCATGAAGCACCACCACCCGGACATCGCTTGGATGGCCTCCGCGCGCTGGACGTTTCGCTTCCGTGCACGGTGGGGCCTCGCCATCCGTGTGAAGACGAAGATCGGGCAGCGCCTCACGAAGGGTATGTATAATTTGCTTCGCGACTCATTGACCCTCCGTGTTAGTGTATAAGCCGCCTCCCGCTGTTTACCTGGGTGATTCACTTCGTTTACCGGTTTTTTTTTTTCGTTTGCAGATTGCAAGCCCAAATGCGAGTCTTTCTGGGAGTTCGTACGGCGGAACGTCATCAAGTGGAGCATCGACACGTGGAACGTCATAAACACGGACCATACCCCTATATTCTTGGAGATGCCGTGCGACCAGACTCTTCACCACCGCGGCGAGAAGTCTGTGCACGTTCGCAGCGCGGGGTACGAGAAGCAACGGGTGACCGTGATGCTGGGCGTCACGGCGGACGGACGCAAGCTCCCAGCGATGGTCATTTTCAAGCGCAAGACCATCCCTAAGATCCGCGTGTCGCCAGGTAATTTTCGTATTGGCCCTGAAGCCGCGGTGGGTGATACCTCAGTACGTTTAACAATCTCCCCGTGCACTTGCGTGTTTCTCGTATGCAGGTGTCATCATCCGCGCTCATGAGAAGGGGTGGATGGACGGCAAACTCGTCGACGACTGGGTTAACAACGTCCTTCTCCCCTTCATCAAGCCGCCTCGTGGCATCCGTCGGTCCAAGACCCTCCTGGTGTTGGACTCCTACCGTGGACACATCACGGACGGCGTTCTTGCGAAGCTCAGGTGGCACCGTGTGATCCCCGCCATCATCCCGGGGGGGTGCACGCCCCTGCTGCAGCCCCTTGACGTGAGCATCAACCGCTCCTTTAAGGCGGGACTGCGCACGTTCTACAACGACTGGTTCACCGATGAAGGGGTGAACAGCTTCACCCCCGCAGGTGCGTGTACCTTAAGGGTTCTAAACCGTAACAAAGTGAGAGCACATGTTGACACAATAAACACACTCACTCGAATCTGTGTGCGTTGGTCGACCTTGCAGGGAACCTGAAGAGGCCCCCCGCTGAGACGGTGCTGAAGTGGATCGCCCAGTCATGGAGCGACGTGCCGGAGCACATCATCGTCAAGGCGTTCCTGACCACCGGCATCAGCAACGCCGTTGACGGCAGCCAGGATCACCTCGTCCTGGCGCACATGCGGGATGCTGGCCAGGTCGAGGTGGGAGAGGACGTCCACTCCTCCCCCTTGGTGGATGAGTGGGTCAACCCCCTCTACACCACGACTGCTGACGACGAGGAAGCTGCCCGGGAGGCGGACGACGAGGACTGTGGGGACATGCCCGCGGAGGAGGAGGAGGCGGAGGAGGAGGAGGAGGAGGAGGAGGAGGAGGAGGAGGAGGAGGAGGAGGAGGAGGAGGAGGAGGAGGAGGAGGAGGAGGAGGCCGAGATGGAGGCGGAGGAGGAGGAGGAGGAGATCGAGGGGGAGGCAGAGTGGGGAGACGTGGAGGAGGACGAGGTGGAGTAGGGAATAGGGGGGTGCAAGAGAAAGGTTAGCTAAGCCGGACCGTAGATGTGTATGACTGTGTTGCTTGATGTACCGTAGTATTGACTCGTTCCATGCCTTCACATCGTGTCTAGTGTGGATCCAAGTGCAGTATTAATTCTAAACTGTTGGGCAATGGTTTCTTTAACAGAATCCCCTCCCCTAGGGGAAGGGGGGGGGGGTCTTATACTGATTATAGGCTTAGGGGGGGTCCTCTCACATATGCTACATATTAAGAGTCCCAGTACCGTTCAAAAGTCCCGGGGTTTTTTTTTTCGGGAGGGTCCTATATCCGGGAGAATACGGTAAGTACTTCGCTCATACTTTGTGCTCGTTATCTCTTTCCATTGCACCCGTAACAATTGCATTGAAATGCATGCTTGTTTTACGACTTTCTAACATTCTCGCTTACTAGATGTCTGGTATGAACTGGATTGAATCAGCTGGCTTTTCTGTTCACTACAACTGGTCGTTTTTTTTTGAGTGGCGAGTCCTACTTGCACATATGGTCAGTTGACAGCGTGGAGTCCAAGTTGAATCGTATCCAGAATAACGGCGATGTTGCTGGCGTGTAGCATTGTTTCCTCATACAGGGAAACTCGTTTCCTGGGCAGAATTTATGATTCATAAATTTATTGCATACGGAATCGTTAACCTATCACCATTAGGCTCGTTGTACTGTAATTCTGTGGCCCCAGCAGATCACCGCCAGTTTCCCCTCAGCCCTTCACAGGATTTTTTGTTGCTCACTTGTTTGTTGTTGTTCGTCACTCGCCTCGCCTCGCCTGATCAAGGTTGTACATTGGCAAGTTGCCGTTGCAATGCTGGTCAGGGTTTTCATTTCGTTGCTGTGCTGCCACTTTGCAACCAACAGCATCTCCACCTGCAAGACAACCTCTCGCCCCCCATAACCCACAACTTTCAAAATTATGCGGTAACCACTGCCCAGTCGCCGACTCAATTGAGAACGGCATTGGGCAGGATCGTCATCAGCCGTTATCCCGCAGTGTCCGTTGGCAGTTTGACCTCTTTCGTTACAGTAACCCATGATGTCACCGCGGCCAAATCCCGCAAGGCCGCATTTCCGCACACCCGCCCTTCACCCAGCGTGCCTTCCAGCCAAAGTGCCATCTGCCCTGCTGCCGACACCCCCGATCTCTGTCCACGTGCCCATTGTCCAGTTGGTGCTGGATGGACGCCAACTCTGGGCGGGTAAGCGGAAAACAATCTACAGCAACCGCCAATCGTTCGTGAATGCTTTTTTACAAGCGAAAGTCTACACCCTGCCTAGCTTTGGTAGACGAGAAATTGTGGTTTGGCTTGCTTCGGGCAGCGTCCTTTCTGTCTTCGCCCGGATCTTGTTGTCACGTACACTAATCGAATTCGTGTGTTTCGAGTTGTGATGGCGGCACATAGTCCCTCCATCCCATTTCCCCCCCACCCCACCCCAGCCCTGAGTCCCACTGTCCCGTCCATCCTCCCATCCCAGCCCTGACCCCTGACCATTTCATGGTCCCATCCATCCCATCATTCCATCATCTCCCCTCCCCTCCAGACTCGTCTAGTGCTGCTACACGCCCTCATCCTTCAATTTCATGCTGTCATCACATCTCTGCGTCACATTCGTGCGTCCTTTCCACTCCCTCGTGTCCTCTCCTCTCCTCTCTCTCTCCAGAGTCACCACCGCAGCAGCATTGCTGTGAAAATCCAACACCTTACCCCCTTCCAACCAGATACGGGCGTTTGACTCAGCAGCAGTTGCAACATCCATTTTTGTTCCCCACCAACCTTTCACGGTGGCTTCTGTCCTGTGAGCCCCACTGTCCCTCCACCCAACCCCCCTTCTTGTCCCAGTTGAGCTTTGTGAAGCAGCCACCAACAGACGCAAGATCTCCCAACCATGCAACCTGCTCATCTCAGTTTCGCTGGACCCACATTGTTCCACATCAACGAGACCTAGCCGTGCCCGCAATCGCGTGCTTTGTTCCCACTTGTTATCAACACGTAAGCCTTCAACTGACAGTAATAACAATCTGGCCTTTTCCGCTCGGTAGCATTCTCAAGTCAGAAAACTATTTCGCCTTCATGTCCTTATTCGGCGCGCCTCCCGCTGCGGAGGCGCCTAATCAAACCCACGCACCATCCCACTCGCGTTCCAACTCGTTTTTCCATGGCCGCCGCCATTCGCGCTCCTCCTCCCTCGTCTTCAAGGATTTCCCCCCGCAAATCTCGCACCAGCGCGATCCGTCCTTTGCCGAATGGACCGGCGGGAAAGACCCCCGCACATTGGCACCCTCCTCATCCCCTCCGCAACCCACCGTTCCGCCGCAGGAACTGTCAGACTCATGTCCCCTGGACTCCACTTCCCCTCTGCCAAACCTCTTTCCCCTTAAGGAGCTGCAGCAGGCGCCTTCCCCTCCGTCATTGCCGCAATTAGGCAAGGTGAAGGAGCAATGGCGGTCCATCTCAAGCCTCTCTCTCCCTCGCGCATTTTCCGGCCGCCTAGAGCACCTCGCCATCCCCTCCCCCTCGGTCGATCACGCTTCTAAGAACCGCCCACATCCCTTCTCTCTCTTCCTCTCCTCGCTTCACGATTCCCCGTCCGAAGGCTCCGCAGAGCCTTCCCCCGCGTCGCTTATTAACTCCCCGAACTTCCCCAACTCCCTCATTTCCCCCGACTCTCTTAATTCCCCATGTTACTCCTATTCCACCTCGACTAGCTCCGCAGCTTCCACGCCTTTCGGCGGGCCGCCTTCGCTTTCATCCCTCACCACCACCCCTTCCTCCGCCTCCCCTTCCTCTTCCACCTGGTCAGACCTCTCCCCCTCCGTCGCCTCCTCTTGCTCCTCCGCCGCTTCCCCGTATCCGTTGCTCCGCCTCGCGCTCGACAGCCCCTCGGCGCGAACCCCCTCCGTGCGGAGCCCTTCCGCTTCCGCCAAGGGCGCAGCCGCGCGCCTCTTCGACAGCCCGCGCAGCCGGTGCCAGAGCCCGCTAAGCCAGAACAGTTTTCCGCCGTCGCATCTGCAACCCTCCGCCCACCATGGCGCGTTTCCGCGCTCGGGGAGCGGCGGAGCCGCTGCGCCCAGCCTTCTCGGGGGAGCCGCCAGCGCCTCCGCGTGTGCCGATGGCGCTGTTAGCGGTAACATGCTGACTAGTCCTGCTGCCGCCGGCGGGAGCCCGAGTGGCGGAACATGTAGCGCCCAAATGAATGAGCGAACGGAAAGCGCGGGGGATATCACAAGTGGGAGCAGCGACGGCTCTTATCCTCAAACTGGTCGCTCCTCTGCTGACACGTGTCAGGAATCAACGGCAGAGCTTGACCGCGGGTTGACGGACATGGCGGCTGCAGCCGCCATTGCTGCTGCCGTTGGCGGGCCATGGGTGGCAGCGGATCGATTCCGAGTGGAGAGCAGCGCAGCGGCAGAAAGGCGGGCGGAACGGTGGGCGGGCGGCATCAGCGGAGCGGAGGGCCGCGCTCAAAAGCAAAGGGCCGGCGATCGGAACGCGCAAACCGGCAGTATGGAAAGGGCCGCGGAGAGAAACTGGGAGGCAGGCAGCGGAAGCGGAAGGGAGAAGGGCAGCGGACAGGGTAGTCGGGGGAGAGGGCGGGGCAGCAGCGGCAGCGGCAGCGGCAGCCCGAGCGGGAGCGGGAGCGAGAGTGGGAGTCCGAGCCGCGAGAGGATGCTGCATGCCGTGTCGTCTCTCACGCTGCTCCGTGACGTATTGGAAAAGGAGAAGTACAGCCATCACCGCCGCAAACAGCAGCATCAGCAGCAGCAGCAGCAGCAGGAACCGCAGCGGCAGCATGATAGGAATGCGGGGACTGAGACGGATAGCGATGATCCCGGAAGGAGGCGGCGGTCGAAGGATGGCAATCGCAGCGGAAGCGGGAGTGGTAGTGAAGGAGAGGCGGGCAGCAGGTCCGGGCGGCATAGGCGCGACAGTTACAGTGACGGTCAGAGAGACGGTCACAGACACTGGCACGAGGGGCGACAGCAAGGGAAGGAGAAGGGGGTCGGTGCGGAGAGCAACGAGCGGCAGATGTACCGGCAGAAGAGGCACCAGCAGCACTACGAACGGCACCATCACCAGCACCGCCACTCGCAGCAGCCGGAGCGAGCCGTGCAAGGGCGAGAGAGGCGAGACTCTGCCGACTTCTGGCTGTACAAGTCGTCGAGTGTCGGTGGCGGTGCTGTTGGGGGTCCGCAGCACATGTCGGTGAGCAGGAGCAGCAGCGGAGGCAGCTCCGGCAGCAACAGCAGCAGTGTGTGCAGCAGCAGCAACGCGAGCCCCAGCAGCAGACGCTCCCTGTCCCCTCTAGGCTCGCTTCCCAGCTCTCCGCATTCACCTTTCTTGCCTTCTCCTGGCGTGTCCCCCTCCTTCCCAGCGAGTCATTCCGAACCACCGTCTCCTCTCCCCTCTGTTCACTCTCTCCAAGCCTCCTCTCTCGCGCCCTCTCTCTCCTCTCCTTCTCAGCCGACCAGCTACCACCAGCGACAGGCCCCGCTGTCCTCTCATGCCCCGGGCTCCAAGCGCCGGTGGTTGCTGTCGCTTCTCCGCGGTGGCAGCAGCAGTAGCGGCAGCAGCAGCAGTGGGGCTAGCAGCGGGAGCATCAGTGGCAGCAGCAACAGCAACAGCAGCAACAGTGACAACGGCAGCAGTGGCGCGTCAGGCGGCATCAGCAGCAGCAGCAGCAGTAGCAGTGGTGGCAACGGCAGTGGTTCTGGGAGGAGCTGCAAGAGCGTGGGCATTGAGAAGCTACAGCAGCCACAGGGATCGACGCATAGCCCAAGGCGCAGGCTTGGGTTGAGCCTGGTGGCCGGAACCAGTTCAGCCCTCAGCCCGTGTGGAGGGAAGAAAGGAAACGAGGACGAGGGTGTTGAATGTAGTGGGGGCAGTGCTTTGGAGGATGTTGCAAGTGCAGGGTTGACTGGGCGTGTGTTGGGTGGTCGTGAGGGAGTGCCAGACAAGAGCAGTGCGGCCTTGGAAGAGAACAGGAGGGGGGGAGTTGCAATGGAGAGGAGTAAAGGGCCTGAGGGCACGATGAAGGTGGGACGAGGGAGAGAGAAGCAGAGTGAGGGGAGGAGTTCGGCAGGGCAGGTGGTGGAGGATCAGGTGTGGGAGGTGACCGCATGCTTGCAACCCAAAACACTGTAACCATGCATGCCAGTGCGCAGTGAAGCTGTGACATCTTCAGCATATTTCAGCTTATCTGTACTACTAGGACTGGCACTGTTGTATATTCCAACTGCAATCGTTTCTCTGCCGGAGCTGTAATGTTGCAATATATTGCAAGCATGTTGGTCGGTCTTGCTTATGTGACTGCTCATATGCAGTTTGAGACTTCGAAAGGTGTCCCATGCAGATAGAAGACATTCTGTAAGGAAAATTCCTTTTCCTTACTTCGCGCCCCTGCTTACCGCGTACGGTACAAGACCATTCCCGCCATCAGCACCCAGACAGTGAAACATTGCCCGCTCGCGACACTCGCCTCGACTACGACTCCCGCCACTGTTCGCTATGCGACCCAACCTCACGGCTCGGTTGGTAACCCGCGCTCCGGACCTCCGCCTCGACATATCCCAACCTCGGCGCTAGGCCCGTAGCGCACCCCAATTTCTCGCGTTACCGTTTCCACTCTAGTTCGCTATATATTCTTCGCGCATGCCTTCGCTCATTGTATTGTTTTTGCTTCGATAGTGCAATTCTCGCTAGCTCGCTCAATTGCACTCGTAACACTTGGTATTTGTTGGAAACAACTGATTTAGGCGCCTCTGTCGTGTCGAAACACCAAGACAGAAGCGAAGAAGCTCGTATCGAAATATCGGTGAGTCAACCCTCGGAGGTTGAATAACTGTTGGAGGTTACGCGAAAGTCAAAGGTCAGTGACCTTTGACCTGACAAATGCAGCGCGACAGCAAGGACAACCAACTGTCTCGATACTGAGCAGTTGCCCGAGTCGACACTGTATCGAACCGCAACAGCAACAGTAAAACAGTTAACTGTATCTCTTCATATTCCTTTGTATTCTTATAAAAGCTTGTATCTCTTTTATTATTATCAACTTACTTTGCTCTCACATACCAGTGCAAGGTGGTTCACAACTTCTTAATTAACGCTTCCGCTACTACATCAACTCTACCCAAAGTTCACCCCTGCAAAGATCCTAGGGGCTTCTCAGCCCAACATGGTATGAGAGCTATCAGGGGGAATTCAACTTCTATACCGACAACATCAACAAGCATGGCTACACAAAAGGAAAGAAGCAACTCCAACGGCTCCCAGGGCACTACTCCTACTCCACCTCCTGCCTCTGGCCTACAGACAGAGGAGGGCACAGCATCAAGACCCAGAGCAACATCTACCGAGACTCCCGCGAATCAACCTGCAGACTTCGACCAGAGCATGATGGAGAAGTTTTTCTCCTTCATGTCCTTCTACGAGCAACACCAACAATCGGCACCTGCGCAGTCACACAACAGCAACAACAACGGAGCAACACCCATGAGTCTCGACGGCTCATCATATGCACGAGGAAATCAACAACAGCAGCCTACCTTTGCTCCGTACGAGCGCGGGTCCATCAGCTTTATGCCACACCCACAGTCTTCACCTGGACAAGAAAAATCACTGGACGCATTACAAGTTCAGTCGCAGTTCGCACACGTTCTGAAGATGCAGACGTCAAGACCTTTCGATGGAAAGGACTTCTTCACCTGGTCGTTTGAGTTCGAGCTGATGATGGAAGGCGCGCAGATACTCGGGTTCTTCGACGGGTCTCTGCCATACCCAACAAACGGCACACAGTACGAGAAGCAGCAGTACACCTATCAGTCAATGATGGCGTACACAATCCTACTGAGGAATATCACCCCGACTCAACAGCAGAACATAAGGTCTTACCGAGGTTACGGCAACTCCGCGGAGCTCGCGTACAACCACCTGAAGAGCCTGTATCAAGCAACAGACAGCGTAAGCCAAAGTCGGTTAATGGCGCAACTGACAACGGTTGAAATGAAACCAGGGGAGAAAGGAATGGCGTATATCAGTCGATGTCGCGAGTTGCGCGACAAACTTCTTCGATGCGGAGGGTCGATTTCTGAAGACGCCTTCGTAACAGTCATCATCGGCGGCCTCGGTCCTCAATGGCGCGCCACAAAGGCCATTCTCCGAGCTCACGGAAGAATCTCTGAAGCAGCGCTCTGCGCCGAAATCCACGCCGAGCAGCAAGACATGGACCTGCAAGAAGAACGACACAAAAAGAAGACATCAGCACCGGAATTCGCGTTCCACACTCAGCGACGCTACAACAACAACAACAATCGGCAGCAACAACCGAAGCCAGTACCTCCGTTCTGCCACATCTGCAAAACTTCAGGACACCCGCGTACACACTGACCAGATCGTCAACAGTCAACAACCCCACAGCGGCAACTTCGACCTTCAAGCAGCCAAATCGCCTCAACGCAAGCAAATCCCACGACCCAGATTCAAGCCTCAACGACTTCAACGGGACAACCTGCACAAGGAGCAAGAAACATCGTCAGCTGCATGGCAAAGCTGAGTGACTCCTGCATCACCGAGTCACCACCACACTACTCACCGGAAGAACAACTCGACGAAACCACACCTCGCCGCGAGTCACTTCAGCCGAACCCGACATACGCCGCCATCGCCCAAAGCGAACCATCCGGAAAAGACACATGGTTCTTGGACAGTTGCTGCGGACAGCACATGTGCTCCTCGGGACGCTTCGTTCAACGAGAACACCAACTTCAACGCGAAGTTGTCATTACAGTCGCCAACAATCAGAACCTGCGAACACGACGACAAGGCGTAGTTCAACTTCAGTCAAGGGAAACAAACGTTATACTACAAATGTCAAAAGTACTAATCGCAGAGGGACTCGGCTACAACTTACTGAGCGTCAGTCAGCTAATGGCGAAAGGGATTCACCTCGAAGCAGACAGCACCACCCAAGAATTCAAGCTGTATCATGGGAGAAGAGGACTTTACATCGGCAAGGCGGTCCTCAAGAACAACGTCTTCGTTCTTGATTTCGTTCCTGATCTTGGCACCGCCGACAGCGACGCCATCGTTAACTTCACCAACTGGACACACCCTCCAGACCTTGATCCAGACTTCAGTCCAGAAGGCTTCTGGTACTCACACACCATCCCTGAAGCAGAAAGAACAAGGGCGTTAGCAACAATTCAGACAACATCGGTAGCAGCAGAGACAACATCGGCAGCAGCAGAGACAACATCGGCAGTAGCAGAACCATTAACGGTAGCAGCAGGAACGTCAACACCAATTGCTAGTCCTTCAACGACACCGCTCCTCATCGACGACACACCACCGACACCCGCGCAACAACTACACCCAGCACCACAAGAAATTCATCGTAGCGCCAACTTCACCGCCAACTTCTACTCCAACTCCGATATGTACCGACGATCACCCGGACATCGCGCCGACGAAAGCACCTGGCACGCAAGGATGGGACACCCAAGCAACACAGTATTAAACAATACGATAAGAGCAGGAGTACTCGACAAGGACTCACTCCTACTGACCGACGGACGAGAACTTCAACGAGTACGCGGAACGTGCTTCACCTGCCCTGAAGGTGACTTACCACATCGACCATTTGTGTCTCATCACAACCCGAGCGCACCCGCGTACGCACCACTCGAGAAGGTGTATAGCGACATCCTGTACAATCAGGAACCAGGACAAGCAACGTACAACTATACAATCACCTTCATCGACGCCGCCACCCGTTACGTCTGGCACCTAAACCTCCCTAGCCGCGACATGGCATTCGCAGCCTTCGTTGCCTGGCTACCAGTAGCAGAGAGAGAATCGGGCGTGAAACTGAAAAGCTTCCAGTCAGACGGAGGAGGAGAATACACCTCTCAGCGATTCAAGCAGTACCTGGCGGAAAGGGGAATCAAGCGGCTCATCTCCCTTCCCTACGCCCATCAGCAGTAAGGTGTAGCAGAAAGAATGAACAGGACCTTGCAGAACAGCATGCGCAAACTGTTACGTGGCATGCGGCTACCCAACCACCAGTGGCCTGCGGCAATGGACCACGCCGTCATGCTGCACAACTTGCTCTCGTCATCATCGCTTCCAAACAACGCATCACCGCATCTGCTATAGACAGGAAAACAGGGCAGCACAAAAATGTTACGAGTATTCGGATGCATAGTACAGTACCGACCCCCAGCAGCATGAGCGGGCCGATTTTCTCAACGAGCACAGTGGGGACTACACCTGGGAATCGAAAAGAACTACAACGCATGGAAAATCTTCGACGTCCATTCCAAGGAAACAGTAGCAGCACGTGATGTAATTTTCTACGAACGACTCACGCTCCAGACATACCTTGCCAACCTACAAGAAAACCAGGATCCCACAGGTGGTTTTCGCGGTGACCGAGCCTTCGCCTCAGCAACGGACGAAGCTGACTGGGACGAGCAGAATGTGGACAACGCATCAGAAGAAGCCGGACCCCTTCCGTTCTGCTCCGTGGACGTTCCCATGGACGAAGATAACCCTCGCGAAAGTGTCAACGCCGAAACCTTCTACCATTTCGCCGACAACGGTTACGTAACACCTGCGACAGTCAACACCAACGAAGCAGAGCGAGTAGGACCCAACTTCATACCTGATCCAGAAGCGGGAGATGAAGCAGCTTATCCCGAGGACGCAAATCTTCCCCGCTACTCACAGAGTGGACTGCAAATTCTCGGACTCGTCACCGCAGTCCACGGCACCGCCATTCCTAAAGAGCCTGCGACGGTTCAACAGGCTCTGGGGGGGGGAGCATAAGGAAAAATGGCGCGAAGCCATGGACAAGGAGCTGAAGGCACTGGAGGAACGCAACACGTGGAAAGTGGTTCCTATCGGCGTGGCACGGAACAAGACAGTGCTCACCGGGAAGTGGGTCTTCCGTGTGAAGACAAAGGCCGACGGCACCATTGACAAATTTAAGGCTCGCTGGGTTGTAGGCGGCTTCGACCAAGAACACGGACGCGACTTCACCGAAACTTTCGCTCCGGTTAGCCGCCACACCTCACTACGCATTCTCCTCGCAATCGCCGCCATGAAGAAGAAGAAGATGCGACAAATTGACGTCGCGAACGCGTTTC